AACAAGCATTCATACTTCAATATGCAGATAACAACAGAGCGCTGAGTGTTCTTTAAAGTAGAGACACTACATACTGATATACACCTGAACATCAGCAGGAGAGGACTCTTTAAAGTAGAGACACTACATACTGATATACACCTGAACATCAGCAGGAGAGGACTCTTTAAAGTAGAGACACTACATACTGATATACACCTGAACATCAGCAGGAGAGGACTCTTTAAAGTAGAGACACTACATACTGATATACACCTGAACATCAGCAGGAGAGGACTCTTTAAAGTAGAGACACTACATACTGATATACACCTGAACATCAGCAGGAGAGGACTCTTTAAAGACAATACCATGATTCAAAAAGTCAATGTAAATGTTCATGTCAGTAAAAGAAGTGTGAGTCTTTTTGGTTAAAACAACATTTTCTCTCTCTCTCTCTCTCTCTCTCTCTCTCTCTCTTTTCAGATCGTTCACACACTTTTTAACAGGAGTGTGTGCCATTATTGGAGGAGTATTTACAGGTCAGTCCCTAACACACACAGCAGCTTCAAATTAATACAAATGAAGTGGATAATAAATCCTGACGTTCTCTTTCCTCTTGTGTTTCCTCTTTCCTTTCCTTTTGTGTTTCCTCTTGTGTTTCCTCTTGTGTTTCCTCTTTCCTTTCCTTTTGTGTTTCCTCTTGTATTTCCTCTTGTGTTTCCTCTTCTCTTTCCTCTTGTGTTTCCTCTTGCCTTTCCTCTTGTGTTTCCTTTTTCCTTTCGTCTTGTGTTCCTTCTTGCCTTTCCTCTTGTGTTTCCTCTTCTCTTTCCTCTTGTGTTTCCTCTTCTCTTTCCTCTTTCTCTTTTTTCCTCTTGTGTTTCCTCTTGTGTTCCCTCTTGCCTTTCCTCTTGTGTTTCCTCTTGCCTTTCCTCTTGTGTTTCCTCTTTCCTTTCCTCTTGTGTTTCCTCTTGTGTTTCCTCTTGCCTTTCCTCTTGTGTTTCCTCTTGTCTTTCCTCTTTCCTTTCCTCTTGTGTTTCCTCTTGTCTTTCCTCTTTCCTTTCCTCTTGTGTTTCCTCTTTCCTTTCCTCTTTCCTTTCCTCTTGTGTTTCCTCATTTCCGGTTGATCGATTCGCTCATCTACCACTCAGCTCGAGTCATCCAGAAGAAGATAGAGTTGGGAAAAGCCTCCTAACAGCGCCCCCTGCTGGCCCTCCACGGTGAAAGAGAAAACAGACAGGAAAGAAAGGACAGAGGGAGAAAGGACAGAGGGAGAAAGGACAGAGGGAGACAGAGAGGTTTTAAATCCGCCACGTTTTCGATTCCTCTCTCTCTCTTTTCGTTCTGGAAAAAGCACTGAAGAGGAACTTTTGGGGGGGTTTTGCTCTCCGGTAACGGAGGGTTTTTTGTGATTGAACTCGAGAGGAAGCTTCTTTTTCTTCTTCTTCACGGAGGACGGGAACTTCACTTTCTTCTTTAACGTCCTGATTCACATTCGTTAGAGGATCCAAAGGGGTGAGGATGAGAGGGAGGCTTTTTGGGAAGGAATACGTCACCCCAAAATTATTCATTTTCATATCAGTAACTCTTTTCTCCATTTAACTTGTGAAGAACCACCATATATAACAAGTTGTGTGAAGTTGATTAGACCTTTTTTAGGGTCAAATGTTCCTTTAAAAACCAAAAGTTCTTCAAAACCAGCTGAGTTTCTTTGATTTTCAGCTGAATAACGACACTTTACGGCAGATAAAAGACATGTGACCCCAAAGTTATTCCTATTCCTATCAGTCACTCCGTTCAAACTCTTGTACACGTTAAAGCAAATCTGTCCTTTAATGTGAGGAAGTTGAAAGTGAAGAACGACCATCTATTAAAGATCAAGATTTTGATTCTTTAAAGACTTTCTGTACAAAAAGTCCCTCAAAACCAGCAGATTGTCTTTGATTTTCAGCTGAATAACGTCACTATAAGGCAGGTAAAAGAAATACTCCACCCCGAATGATTCATTTTCCTATCCCTCACTCCTATCAAACTATTCCACAATTTAAAGCAAAGTTAAAAGTGAAGAACGACCATCTATTACAAGTTGTGAGATGTTGATTAGAAACTTTATTTTGGTGTGAAATGTTCCTTTAAAAGATCAGAAATACTTCAAAACCAGCTGATTTTCTCAGATTTTCCGCTAAATAACTTCACCTCTAATGATTAGTTTTCTCGTCAGTGACTTCCTCCTCGACACGTATTACAAGTTGTGAGAAGTTGATAAGGAAACATGTTGGGTGACGTAATTCTTTAAAGACTTTCTGTACAGAAAATCCCTCAAAACCAGCAGATTTTCTTTGATTTTCAGCTAAATAACGACACTTTACGGCAGATAAAAGACCCAAAAGATTAGTTATCCGATCAGATACTTCCTCTATGTAACAGCGGAAACCTTAATGGAAGAAACGACATGTATTTCATCCAGAACCACAGAAAGTCTAACGCGACACATAATCATTTGTTCTCGATAAGATCTGAATGTATTGGGAAAATGTAGGGATTCGTTTTGGATTTTTATTTTTTTCAACAAAAACCACATTATTATCTTCCCTTGTTGGGTGGCGTGTTCCTTTAAAGACTCTCTGTACAAAAAGTCCCTCAAAAAACATCTGATTTCCTCTGATTTTCAGCTCAAGAAGCCACTTTAGAGGCAGATTTCTGACCTCAAGCTTGAATTAAAACCCACTCTGTGTAGGACTTGGTTTTTCCATCGTGAGAATCTGAATGACTTGAGTTTACAGCCGTCAACACAGAGATGCAAATAGTCAAAAACAAGTAGAAAATATGGGTTTATTTAGCCGGGAACTCGAAGTCAGCCGCTTTCCATCCAATAATAACGTCTCATTTCATGAACATCCACCTGTTTTAGTGCCAACTCTCCACTGTGACATGAACTGTGTTATTTGTCTCTCACAGTGTTTTTTGGATTCATGCATTTTTTTAAATCCTACATACAGTGGCTTTAAAATAAAGAGATTTTATTTGAAAATGACTCGATATAATCAGACGTCCTGCAGTGTGAATGGAGTCAGTGTTTAAGAAGTGGTAGTGAAGGAGTCCCATAATAGTCTGTTTGCAGTTTGTGATCACAGAAATGTTGTATACCCTAAAGTTTTATGTTAAAGATGTACAGTGGGGTCTCCAGCACATAGAAACTGCCGGATACTAACTTGCATTTGTTGGGAAATGTGCACAATTAGCATAAATTGCATTAATTAGCATCAATACACACACATTATTGGCCAATTTGGAGCATTTAGGAGTGGGTTTGGAGGTTATTGAGGATGTTGAATTCAGTTCTGACATGTTCAAGAACAGAAATGGCAGATTCAACAGATTTGTTGACAACTGTAGTTACTTGTGACAGTTAGTATGTAGGTAGGTTGGTCAGAAAGTGGCTATATTCATACTGTAGACTCATTTTGATGGACTTTAAGTCGATTTAAAAGTTTTACGGGACACAAAACAGCCATTTTGGATCCTGGAAATGTCAGAAATGTATTCAACATCCTCAAAAACCACTTAAAAACCATCCATATCGGCCAAGTATTTGATTAACTAATGTGGCATGTGCTAATTAATGCTAATTGTGCAAATTGGTCAACATGCAGGTTAGCATCCGGCAGTTTCTATGTGCTGGAGACCCTGCTATACATTTCTATCATAAAATGTGGTCATGTATAGGTTCACTAAGCTGCAAAGTAGACTAATAGTTCAAAAAAAGGACATCAAAAAACGTCCCCTTTTCATTTGTTATGCACATTTGAGTATTTTGAGTTTATTTTGAGCCAAAGAGAAAACCTACTCAGTTTTTCTTGGGGCTGTCTCACACAGAAACCCGTCACAAGTCAAATCCTGGCTTATTATAAAATACAGCTTCCATAAAGTATCTCCATCTAGGCTCGATTTGAATTCCGTTCAAGCCAGTTAAAGCAGTGTTTACTCTTAGCCTGAGACCCCATTTACACGCGAACGCATACGAAATGCAAACGAACCGAATACGATATCAAAAAAGTCTTCCGTTCACACGAGACCGCTCGGGAGCGCTGGAGACGCTGTAGTACATGTGCCGGGCCTGTAAGCGGCGCCACAAAATACACCAAAAGCAGCGAAGAAGACCCCCGAGCATGGTTGCCATGGTTGCCCTGCTGTTAATGCCCCGCGATGGACTTAGCAACATGTAGTTCATGTAATTCTCCATGTCCACTTGTTGCTGATGGTTGTGGTAGAGGAGCTGTAGATTTTGCACTAACATCTGTAGCATGGTCAGTAGCAGTAGCCAGTAGCTACTGACCATGCTACATTGCTACAGCAGTGAGCAGCAGAGGTGGGGAGATGCGGGGCTATGGCTTCATTGTTATCAGGAAATGATCATAAAGGGCGTACACACTGAGCCGTGGCTATACGAAAGAGAAAAGTAGCGGATTCAACCGTTTGCGTTCTCGTGTAAACAGCACCTTAAAGGGACAGGCGCTAAAACAGAGCGTTTCAGACAGGAAGTGAACACAGGTGTATAAAGACGGACATTATGAGAAAATAAAAGTGTATTTTGGACATTAAAGCAGGTAATCATGTTGGAGTACACCCAAAAGACAAGAAAACTCTTAAAAATCAAATAATTTGCCCCTTTTAATGGATAGAAATGCAAATCCAAGCTCTATTTTCAGAAAATTCGGTAATGTTTCTGACTTTTTCTCACAACATGATCGTAGAAATGTATAATTTAGAAGTCAAAGTTTGTTCAGTGTGTAAATATTGTACAGACACATCACCACTGCCTCAGAAACACTTAGTGAATCCCACCTGATTGAGTGTTTTCTGTGTTAAAAAAACACTTACATATATTTTTATTTGTTATTGTTTTTTTGGGGAAAAGGGCTTCTTCTTTTCTGCTGCTTTCTTTCTGTCGTTTCTTTGGATTAATGGACAACAGTTTGCTGTTTAATGATTATATTTGGGATGTGGGATTTGGGGACATTAAAGGGTTAAAACCAGTGGTGGAAAGTAACTAAGTACATTTACTTGAGTGCTGCATTTAAGTACAATTGAATGCCACTTTAAACTGTTTCTAAACTACATTTAAAATGCTACATAATGCATTTAACATCATCATATTAAGATGTAGCATTATTATTTAAACCTAATGCATCTCTACAAATAAAATAGGGAACAGTTTGAGGTACAAGAATGTGAAATCATCCAATATATTACAAAAAGCGAATATTGTACTTGTACTACTACTAGGGAGGTATTGATCCCAAATTGGGAGATTATTTTAGATACCTTTAAGAAAGAACTAAACTTTAATAATGAACAGTTAACAGTAAAATACTACTTGATGCAACAATACACACACACACACACACACACACACACACACACACACACACACACACACACACACACACACACACACACACACACACTGTAAAATGCTACTTGATGCAACAATATTGGCTAATGCTCCAACACATTGTACGTGATAGGCTAAAGGGGCGGGACATCTCTATGGTGTTGACCAATCACAACAGAGCCGGCCAGCTAACCAATCAGAGCAGCTCTGGTTTCAGACAGAGGGTGAAAAGAGGTGCTGCAGCACAGGCATAAAAGAGCATAAAGAGCTTTTTAAACATCCATATTCATTAGTTAATGTTGTCTTAATAATATAGAGCTGTAACTAATGTTTATATAGTTCAAAATGTAGTGGAGAAGTTTAAACTATGTATACAGTACAATAGAAGTACCTCAACATCAAACTTAAGAACAGTACTTTAGTAAATACTTAGTTACTTTACAACACTGCTAATACATAAGCAAACATGTAAAGGCTTTTACTTGTAATGGAGTATTTTGAGATTCATCCTTTGGTGCTTTTGCTTCAGTAAAGTCTCTGAGTACTTCCTCCACTTCCTGGTTGTTTCACAGTGTCTTTCACTGTTTAAAAAGGTGTTTCATTCAGATTTTAAAGCTGTTCTAATGACAGGGAGGCGGCTAAATGTGGGGTTTATATTCTCATGTTATTCCTCTCACACATGTGGAGCCTCCAGATGAGACCCAGATGTTTTCACTCGCCTCTTTGAGTCTATATTTAGAGTCGTAGAAAGATTTGTGGGTAAAAAAGGTTTTTATTATGGAAGGACAGCACTGGTGGTTTCACATGTCCGTGGCCCATTAACTACAACAGTTTAGAGGATCCATAGAATAAAAAAGGCTGAATCATGCTGAACCAGAATCAGGATATAAATCCCTTCCTGTCTGCTGGAAGGTTTCATTTTGTTTTATTTTGTTAGTTTATTGAAAAAGCGTCTGAAATGTGATGAAATGTGATCCTGGAAGTTTCAGCACCTTTTAACATCTAAATAATCAGTGGCGTGTGTGTGTACGGAGGTGTGTGTGTGTGTGTTTGCGGAGGTGTGTGTGGGGGTGAGAGATGTATTTATATTTTAATTGTCCTCAAACAGTTTTTAAAATAACAGATAATAAATGTTGAATACACCAGCTGCTTCGACCGTCCGTCTCCTCTTTATTCATTTTTACTTTTTGTGTGTTCTATTAATAGTAGATTATATGTACTTTATTGATTCCAAAAAAAGTACATATATATCTAAACGTCTGTAAGGTATG